AAAGAAAGAAAGAAATCAGGAACGTGTGAAACTGCCACACAGTACTTTGTTTTCAATCAGTTTTGAGGGGATTGAAAAGACATCTGTTCACCTTGGCAGCAACAGTGGCAACTGCAGAGCCAGGCACATTCACTGCTCTGTTATGCGACGTCAAAGCCAATGCCTGACTTTATAACCAAACTCCTTAGCCTGTGATTGGAGCTCCGAAGATGGAAGCCATGAATGTGTCCACCACGGAAGTCAAAGCCATTACAATACACTCTCAGGGCCTTTCCCCATTGTTCCAGGAATGCTAGGATTTGGGGCATAAAATATTACTTGAAAGAGTTCATAACTATGAACTGCTAACATTTACCACCTAATTTCTGAGGCCCCCACTGGACCTCAGGAATCTCTGCTTCATTAGCCCTGCTGTGACCATGGCAGGAGGCCTCTCATATCACAAGGCACCATGTTGACCACATCAGGTGGCCAGTGCTGAACCACAGAGGGTTAGGGCAGAGAGGACTGGGGAAGAGCATCCTATGGGAAGAGCACCCTAACTATGCTTTGAGCACCCTAACCAGAGAGATCTACCATCACCATGGTAACAAATTCCTCTCCAGGAGAGAGTTGTGCCTACTTAGTTCTCACCAGAAGAGGCTGTTTAGCTAATTTAGTTGTAATTCCACAGCTAAAATCAAGCCTCCTGTTCCCTCACCACAGAACTGCCACTTCCTGTAAGAAGAAATTAGGGTGTGTCTCAGAACAAAGAGTTCAATTGTGATATTGAAAAATACTGATAGGAATTATTCAAGTCTCCTGGCATTCCTTATCTCACCAATTACAATGTAGAAGGGAAAAAACACATACTGTTTTATTCCCCAACTACCTACAGTTTATAAACAATTTATATAACAAATGAACTCAAAATTTAATTCGGAAGTGATGGTAGCTGGGTATGGGGGCTCATGCCTATAATTCCAGCACTTTGAGAGGCTGCAGCAGGATAACAAGTTCAAATCCCTCCCGAGCAATTTAGCAAGACACTGTTTCAAAATAAAAAGGGCAATCAGGCGTGGTGGTACACAACTGTGATCACAGCACTCAAGGAGGCTGACACAGGAGGATTGCTGCGAGTTGAGGCCAGCCTGGGCTCTCCCTTGTCTCCCTTCCCCCCAACAGCCCATTTGACAAGTCCCGTGCAGCTTCTCCAAGGCAGCTGTATGTACCTTTCTTCTCTCAGAGACAACTGGCAGAACTGATGACATGAAACAGTGTCCTTTCCTAGGTCCCTCTCGGTATCCTCCTACCTCTGGGCAGCCCTCTCTCCACAGCAGCCCCCCCCCCCGACTTTAGGTGTTGGTGTCCCCCACGCCCCCACCCCTGGCTGTGTCCTGAGCCCTCCTTTCTCCTTACTTTCACCTTAACTGATGTCTTTCAGGCTTAGCGCTGTAGATACCATCTTTGTGCCTCAATTTTCCCTCCAGCCCGGTTCATCATCTGAGCTCCAGACCCGAGTACCCATGGGTCTGGCTGACAACTTCACTTCGAAGTGTAAACTCCCAAGTGGAACACTTCATCCTCTTCCCCAAACCTATTTTTCTGCCAGCTTCCCCATTTTAGTGCATGGCTCTCCCAACCACTCAGGAACTTCCTGCTCATTTCTCCCTGTCCATCCCTCACTGTTCACTCCACCAGGGAGTCCCTTTACTTCTCCAAATCTGTCTCAATTATTTCCACTTCTTTCTGTTTCCACTGCCTCTCATTAAATCCTGGCCACCAGCAACTGATTCCCCTGCAGCCTCCTAGTTCGGCTCCCCTCTCACCCCATCCTGTTGATTCTCTCTACCAGTATGTTTTAGAATGTAAATTGGGAAAAAAAAAAAAAAAGAATGTAAATTGGGCGCCTGCCTTGCAAGCGCAAGGTCCTGAGTTCAATCCCCAGTACCCCCCCCACCCAAGAATGTAAATTGGATTGGGTGTGGTGCCATAGGCCTGGAATCCCAGCTACCCTCTAGGCTTAGACAAGAGGATCTAAATTCGAGCCCTGGCTGGGCAATTTAAGTGACAGCCGGCCTGAAATAAAAAAAAAAAAAATTTTAAAAAGGGCTTCGCAACAACAACAACAAAAGGAGGGGCTTAGTTCCTTAGGAGGCTGAGGCACGAGGATCACCGTGGCTCGAGGCCAGTCGAGGGTACATAGTGAGTTCAAGATCAGCCTGAAATACATCGTGAGATCTTCAAAAACAAAATAAGGGCCGGAGATGTAGCTCAGTGGTGCCGCACCTGCCTGGCAAAAGCAAGATCCTGAGTTCGAATTCCCAATACCAAAAATCAACCAACCAACCAAAAGACTTAGCTCAGTACTCCCAGGGCCAATCCCCAGAACTGCATCAATCAATAAAACAAAAAAATTTAAAAGGGTTAGGGATATAGTTCAGTGCCAAAAGGTAGACTATCACCCACCTCCATGTCGCCTCCCCCAGTTATTTCCTAAGCCCCCAAGGGACGGGTGGGTGACCCAGTTTAGGCTGGAGCCCCGGCTGGGCCAGGGTGGGCCTTCTTCTCCAAATAATTCACCGCGTGCGCACTGTGCTCCAGGCACTGGGTCCCCCAGGGACCTCGAGGACAATTCCGACGCCACAACAGGGCCGGCCCAGCGTTTTGCAGCGGCGACGACGGCGGGCTGGGTTTAGCCGGCTTCCGCCTGCGCCCTGGGGCCTCGGTGGCCTCCTCCGCGCCTCCTGCCGGCCAGCTGTGAGTTGGCAGCGCCAACCGCCTCCTCCCCGCACGCCCTAGGCGGGGAACCTGCAGCCCCAGCTGTTGCGGGTAGCCTGGCACGAGGTTGCCCAAGGTTCAGTGACGTCCGTGGAGGAGGAAGGGGCGCCGGGACCCCGCTGGGCACCGGGCTGGAGACCTGCACCCACACTGGGCAGAGGGACAGGGACCCTGCGAGGCTGGGTCGCGCCGAGGACTGGGGCTGCACTCAGTGGAACTACTGGCACCTTGCAAGGCACGGAGAGAGCCCTCAAAATGTCCCAGGCTGGGTAGCAATCTCAGTGCTGGCACAAAGGACAGAGCAACTGGGAGGACAGGGTCATGGCCACTATTAAGGACCTGGCACGGGGAGGTGCCTCTCTACAGTACTGTCAGCTTCTGTTGCTGGATCGAATCCCTCACATACACTGCCTGAAGGAGGAGAGGTTGATTTTGACTCATGGTTTCAGAGACTTCAGTCCGTGCACAGCTGGCTCTGAGGCAGAACACTGTGACAAGGACATCTCCCCAATCCCAGGCAACCAAGAAGCAGTGAGAGCAGGAAGAGTCTGAGGAGACACCCCCTTCAAAGGCCACCCCCAGTGACCTACTTCCTCCCTCGGCCCCACCTCCACCAGCACAGGCAGCTGTGAGAGGAGCGCCCCCGATCTCACCACCTTCCAAACCCCCGCCTCTCGCCACAGGAGCCCTTTGGAAGTTTTGACTCCAACCCTAACACTGACCTTCTTCCCAAAGTGGCGCCTGAGGCAGCCAGGGGACCAGTGTCTGTCCTAGTGTGGGATAACTAAAGGGCAGAGCTGGGATAGGAACCCAGGTCGATTCTCTGCTGGCCCCTGGCCCTAGGCCGAGGGAAGTGTGTTCTTGGACCAGACTTAGAACGTTGGGTAGACGTTGATGGGTGGAGATAACTGAAGACCCTCGGCTCTGATGAGCTGCTAAGACCTGGGGAAGGCTCGGATCCTGAGAGACCACCCTTTTGTACCTCGGTCACAGCGGCTGGAGTGATGAAAGCTAATATAACATGTAAGAGGGGCTTTGCAATTTGTAAAGCACTTTCAGTTTCAAGGTCATTGTTAATTCCTGAAAATTAACTCTTGAAGTGTGCATTGTTATTTGCCTTGACAGATGAGAAACTTGTGTCCTAGAGAGGTTAGAGTGTAGATCAGGGTGTAGTGACATAGCCATACTATTGAATGAATCCAATGTTTCTCAGGAAACCAAACTACCTTGGAGGAGCAGGAAGCCCCAGCATATCAAATACCCTGTGATTTGGCCACCTGAGCTCCTGGCTTCTAGTTTAAGACTCAAGGTTTTGCCGAACCTGCAGCTCTCTAGCTACCAGCAACCCAGCTAGGACTGTAGTAAGTACACAGCAACATCCATCACCATGGCTGCACAGATTTCATTATTTTTCAGAATGTTTCTTACTGGCTTGGGCTGGACCAACTCTGAGGTGTCCTTTAGGCAGAGTGAAATTTGAGAGGTGTTGGGTAGGATTGATTCTGTTGGGTTTTCTGTTGACAGTTATTTGGGGGGTTCAGAAATGGGCCCATAAATCATAATTTTTGTTCTTTCTATTGGCAGATCTACCTCCCAGCAAGTTATTGGAAGGAACAAAAGCCATGTAAGTAGGGATTTTGCAGTCTCAGTTAAAGGAACTGAGAGATTGTGTGTTTCCGGAACAATGGTGGTTGCCATGGTGACATCATTTCTGGGTGGATAAAGCTGGCTGGTGGGTGCTCATCAATGCCCACTTGAAGGAATGTATTCACTGGCACACGCAGAGAGGCCTGCACAGGTGGCAGTCCCCACCATAAACATGGGCACTACCCCAAAAGAGGACACTGTTTTCAGCCCCCAGGACTCATATAAAGCAAGGTGATAAGCTTTTAAAATCCTTGGCAATTCTGCAACCTCTGTCCCTGAAAAGATAGGGTGCTGCAGGGAAGCCAAGTCAGCCACATACTTAATACACCCTGATATCCCAAAATGGGTGCAAAACAAGAACATCAGCCTTACAAAACAAACTCAATTGCCAGGGCCTGTTCTTCCATGGACGGTAAAGCAATCTAAACATGCCCGTTTCCGGTGATAGGGCGCATCATCGCCCTCATTAGTGGCACTAACTTCTGATCTGCTGCTTGGACCAGTCAGGTGTTGCTAATGAAAAGCATCTCGTGCAAGTTCCAACGTAGCCAGGAAGAAAGAGGATTCATACAGAAAGGCTCTCCGCTGTGGGAAGTAGTGACGGAGGCATCCTTTAGCCTTTGCTCTGGCTAACCACCTTGCGCAGCCCCGAGCAGTTTTCAAAACAGAACTCTGATCAGGTATGTTTTCTTTCTTCCTTTCTTTCTTTCTGCTTCGAGCAGGAAGGCGCATTTGTGGAGGCAGGAAGCGAATCAGTTGTCACCTTGAGCACAAGGGATCTTTCAGGGGTGGCTGAAATCTCCCAAAACTGGATTGTCATGATGGTTACACAGCTCTAAATTTACTAAAAGCCATTCCATTTTACACATCACACAGACAAATATTATGGTGTGTAATGTGTAACTCAGTGAAACTGTACAAAATGAAAGGCCCTCTTTGTTCCCCGTGGCTTGCTCAGTCGTGGCCCTGGGTACCCAGAAACTCTCCTGCAGCTACCCTCTGCGTGCCTTGTGTGTTCCCTGGTTATGAGCCACTTAGAGCTGGCTGCAGATCTTTGGATAAAAGCCTCTATCACCTTGGTCCTTTTGCACAGCCCCTTTGTCTAGGTTCTCCTTGCTGCCCTTATCTGTGTTCCAGTGATGGCAGACCTTTTAGAGCTTTCACTGATAACAAGTGGCTGTCTGTGGCACTCATGCCATAGGTTTGCCACCCCTGATGTATTCTCTTCAAAGTTTTGAAATTCAGTTCGAGGATCCAGTGTCAGGAAACTTTCCCCGAACTGGAACTTGAGATCCTCCTGCCTCAGCTTCCTGAATGCTGAGATCATGGGAATGTGCTCCCAGGAGGTTTGGTGAACAAAAGCCTGTGTGGTCAGGACCACCCTTCAGAGCCTGCCACATCCATGATGCCTTTTTATGGGAGTGATCCATCTACCCATTGACCCACAAACATTTAATGCCAAAGTGTTGTTTCCGATGGGTACAAAAATGATTAAGACAAGATACGCTCCCCAGCTCGTCCCAGAGACAGCAGTGGTGAGGGCTGGTGCCACTTGGTCTTAGCCTGGTGATCTCCGATGGGTCCCTCAGTCTTATGCAGGACAGGGATGGTAGTAGTAGAGGTCTTGAGTGTTTACAGGCTAAATATTTCAAAGAGTTTGTGCCGGTAGCGTTTGTTAGTGCTACAATACACGTGTTAGGGTCGGGCAAAAGATTCCTGGACCAAATACCACCTGAACTGAGTTATAAAGAACGAGTGGAAACCGCTTTCTTCAATTTGCTGTGGCCCATGTCAAGTGGAGTTTCGGGTCTGTTAGAGCAAAGCCATCAGCTGTGTTGCTGGCCAAGGCAGATCTGAAGACTCACGTGCATGCAGGCAAAGGTTAAGGAGCACTCCTTCGTTGGAGGTACTCAATTTCTTTTTTTTGCACTTTATTAAATTCTTTTATTGGTACACTGTAGGTATACAACACAATTACATTTCTCATTGGGAATTGTACCTTTACATGATGCATCTTGGTTCTTATTTTTTCCCCATTCCTAG